TACACGCAATAATTCACAAACATAGAATATACTATATAATTATATAATCTTTTTATTTATAAGATAAGTTTTTTTATTTATAAAGCACAGTTTTTCTTTTCAATAGTTTTTTTTTTGTTTTAATGAACTATGTTTTTGAAACTAAATTTTCATAAAAATATTCATTTTTTGCCTTCAAAGTATAATTGTACAATTAAATTATAGAGTACCTAAGTATCATACACTTACCATTCATAGCTAATTAGCTTAAATTTACGCATCCATATACGTCTTAGATTATGTTTTCAGCTTCTGATTCTACACACTTGTATTTATTATACTAACTTGCAATAAATTTATATTATACAATTAATATTCACCAAGCATACTCATTTCCATTTTTCGTTTAGTATATATTATGTTTTTTGGAATTTTTAGTATATTTAAGAACATTTATATTTAAAATTAAATTTAAAAATAAATTCAAAACTTTAATTTTGATTGCTTACATTATTTAAAAAGTGACCTAGCTGTGATGTCACGAAACTTTTTTTCTCAAATAAAAATCATGTATGTCACATTATTACAAATATTGTGTGTTACAAAGCTGGTGGATATACCTTTATATTCGTTGAACTATGTGATGAGTATTCGAATTCAAGATTTTAATTACTTTGTATATACACATTACATATGTATGTATATATATATTTATAATTCGTGCTGCCTCAGTTTAGTAGTAACGATACGATGCTGTTCAGCTGTTGACTGATGCAAGATTAGTGCAATATTTAAATTTTGTAATAAATTGTTTTAAGTGCATGCATTTTGTGAGAACATAGAGGAGAGTGTTTCTTTTAAAAAAAAATTATTTATGCGTATTCCTTCTAGTTATATAATCTTATTATTAGGATTTAAAATTTTCAGGTACGTACAATTTGTTTACAATTTTGCATCCTCATGCCCCCTTTTAATTGTTTTTCTTGATTTAAGCATTGAGTTATTAATAGAGTTATACATATTCAATAAATATAATATAATATATGCGTGTATAAATTATTGGCTCGCTACACATTCGGTATGGAATTAAACACGTCGCACTATTTCGGAAATGCCAGAAACCGTATACGTATTACATACATTTTTAAAAATTATCGTGTTGGGGTAATGTGCTGCGTCCTGAGGATGTGACTTCGCGTGGATTATTCAACCACCGCTGTCGAAAATAACGTTGTCGTTACTGCAGTGACGGTAAATCACACGACGGTATGATCAACCACGTATCCGGAAATGCGTATTTCGCGCTTGAAACTATTAGAGAGGCGGAGATTGCGTGTGTGAGTGAAACTTTTACCATATGCGATTTTCCGGGCAAAATGGAAGTAGCGGCATTGGTAGTGCATAAGTATGCTAGATTAATTTTAGACCTATCGTTTTATACGCAGTATTATGTGTTGTACTGTTTTCGATTATCTTTACATAAATTGTATTGAAATAAAAACGGTTGTGGCGATAACACAATAACAATAAAAAAGTATTGTACACATATTATATGTATAATATGAAATGCGCGCGAGTTTAAAGTATATCAAGTATTGAAACAATCTCTCAAATAACTAACAGCAATTGATAATTGATTAATTAAATTTTTTTCACACTCACCGTACAGCTCTTGCTTTATATCATAACTCTGGAGTAATATATATTGTGGCTACCGTAGTCATTAGAATTTTGCTGGATACTCTAGAACTCTTATGAAATAATTTGGTATCTATTTTATATTTTCCAACTGCTATATAACGTACTGCTATAACGTACGTGTATAATATAATATAAATCAATAGTTGTACATCTGTAGCGTTATCGTTGTTTATGACGCGTCTGTATAATAAATAAATGATAAAATAAAAACCAGAAAATGAGAAAACACTGTCATTATGGTTTTCAACGTATATAATATATATAATATAATACTATATTACTATAGCTAAGTAACACGCAACATCCCTAGCTCTATTTCGAATATTTTTAGGTGTACTACGGCTGAAAACAAAAACTGGACGCATAATAAAAAATATGTTTACGATTATTTTTTCTACGATCTTGATGAAGCGTATCGTTTCGAGGGATTTGATTATTTGATTTTCGGTCGAAATAATTCTCCGTAATTTAAAAAAATGTTATACTAAAATATACTACGAAAAACCTTAATAATATAATTCGTTTGTATTTGTGTGTGTGTATTATTAAGCGAAAAACCAAATGGATTTGGGAATAGCCAACGTTTAAACTTGCGTAGTAAATCGACGGTTTATAGCTACGTCGCAGAAACGTGTATCGTCCGTTTCTAAGGATTTCGCGTATATCCCCCTCCCCCACCCAATAAGAATAAGGGATTTACTCAAATCGCATTAATTAAACCGAAGTGTATTATATTCACTGCTGCAAACTGTTTTCAGACGATAAATTGGACGAGAAACTTGGACCATAATCAAATAGATAACGTACCTACATGAAACCATTACGGGGTAAACTGGTTTTATTGTTAATTAAAAACTTGAAATGATAATGTTCTAAACGGGCAAATCGTTAAATGTAATCCATATATGAACTAAATAATAATATATAGTAATATTATTATTATTATTATTATTATTATATAGCTTATAACATTATATTTTAATGTACAATATTATTATTATACTCCAAGGATGTTGTGATAAAACACGCGTATGTAATCGTAATACCTACGTATAATGTAAATGTAAATGTGCGTATGTCTATCGAAAAATCGATACTTACTCAACTATTCATTTCTTTTATGTGTATACTTACCAAGTAAAAGTGTAAACAAATATTTAACTGTTTTAATCGTTTAAATCTTAAAACCGATTATAATACAATTGTTGTAATTGGATGACGATAAAATTTAATATATAAAAATAAGATATCACAGTGTCGATATTAAATGAGTCAAATAATTGAATTTAAAATACAACATGTTCAATTAAGTGTAAACATCCGATTATTAGGCGAATGTATTGATAAACTATCATATGTATATAAAGTAGCCACTGTATGGTACGCTTATACATAACGTTAAGGTGAATTCGTTTAATAATTTATGATCATGTTGGTTTGCTTTCAATGGTAATATTCCGAGTACCGTTGAGATAATTATACAAACATTAAATGATGCGTGTATAACATTATCTACATAAATACATAAAAAATGCTGTTCATTGAGAATCGCATCACTTAAGTTTGGTACACACTTAAATTTGGCATCGTGAAAACCTGTGTATAACAGAAGTTGACAAACGGCAGGTATAGCGTATATCCGAAGTTATTATTTTAACATCACTTTAATTATGGGTTTTTTTTTCGTATTGTTATGATAAACACTAATAAATATTTTTGATCAAGTAAAAAATATAATAAATACATCATTGTATGGAATCGGTTTTTTTTTTATATTTATATATAGATCACATGGCATGCATTTTCTTGATTTGTTAACAATAACTCATAAAAGTCAACTTACCTTGGCCATTGGTTGGTATCTAGTATTCTGTTTTTTTTTTCTATAATAGTGATGACGATGTGAATAATAGTAATTTGTAACTGAATATAATATATGTTGTGTATTGTTAAAAAAAAGAAGGCCCGAAGTGATATAATCATATTATTGGGAAATAGGTTAAATTTGAAATAATAACCATCGCTAATTTAAGTTTATAATGTTATTTATTTTTTAAACTGCCTTTGATACATTGAAAAAAAGTAAAATAAACAACACACACTTAGACCTATTAACTCAAATTTATCAACACTATAAATTTATTAAATATATCGTAATAGTATATCATAAAACAACATCCACCTATAGTCAAACCATTATTAAATTATTTTTCAAACGAAAACAGTCATACATGAATAACGTACATTTGTAAAACAATATAATGATATTATACTACATACCTAGACACTTTAATATTATGTATGGCTAAGATACTTAATAACTAAAGATGTAAATATTCTATACAAAACATAACTTTTTGAGATTTATTAAATACTTTATAAAATATATAATATTATAATATGTGCAAAGTATATATACGACTATAATTATTGTTTAAACTATATAATATTAGTTATAGATTATTAAATATATTGACTAATTGATTTTTCACGACATACGTTGTATAACGAAAACATACGCTATTATATTATGTACTGAATGCTATAACATATACTATATACAGTACAAGTTTTACACATTAATATATATATATATATATATATATATATATAAGGTTGGGTATTAACGAGTTAAATTACTTTTAACAAAGTTTAATGAAAAGTTTTTTTTTTTTTAACGTATCTTTTAATTTAACGAGTTTAAATTTATCCCATGATATGTTGTTTATCTCGTAATTACTAAATACTTAATTAATTGTATAGTCACGTTAAAATAATAAAATTGTTTTCATAATATGTATAATTTCAATATATTTAATTTAATGTAAATATTATAGTTTTTACGTATAAAAAAAACTTCTTAAGTACGCATACAATATTATATTTATGTTAAATTGTAGATTGCCGCGATAGATCAAGTTCACAGTACTTCTATATTTAAATAGGGATCAAATTAACTTGTATTTCATATTATAAACAAATACAAAATATAAACTGCCATGGAAAATTTCATTGTCACACAAATAAATTTATTTTAAATATTTCAATTAAACACTACCAAATAAGTGATTACTCAGCTCAACATTTAAGGAGATGCCAGAGATCGCTTGAAAATTTAATCTAAATAATTAATAACTTCTATAAATATAGGATTTATTATAATTGATGGTTTCTCTTTCTGTTGACTAATCTTGTGTGTATTATATTGTTTTTATCTTCGTGTGTATGCTTTTATCGAATTTATTTACTGTGATTTTACATAATTAGTAAATATATAAAAAAAAAAAAAAATAAATAGTTAAAAAATGTACCTAATGGATTTTTAACTATAAGTTACTTTTTTTTTTTTACTCAAAAAAAAAAACTTACATTTAACTACACGTGTAATAAGTCGACGAGAGCACGAAGTTAAAAAAGAAATAAATGGTAAATCCGTCTAACCTCGTGTACCGTTTATAAATAGTGTATAATATAATATACCTATGTACTAATGTACTATCTTATCTAAACTTACGTATCTTAAATCCGTACACGCTGGGTAAAAAATGAGAAAACTGTGGTTTTTTTTTTTACAAAAATCCAGTGGTTTTTTTAATATCATCGTCTTGTCGTCTCGTCAGTAAAACACGGCAGACGAAATTCGCGCGTAAGATCTGGTCCGCGCCGCGTGATATCAGTGGCCACGAGACTGTTGTTGAATACGCGACGGGCGGCGGCGATTTGTATTGGACGGGGCTGATCGTTGGCGGCCGAAATGTCAGTGTCGGCGCGTTACTCGCCGAACGCGTCACGCGATTTCTGTCTCAGACGGTGCATCGAAATCACCGAAACGGAATCGTCGTAGTCGTCGTTGTCGCAGCCGCCTCTGCTGTTGCCGCCGCCGCCGCCGCCGCAGTGCAGCGGCATCAGTTCCAAGTTCTGTTGCAGCGGCGTCGTCAGCGGCGGTTGCTGCACCGGCGACGGCGTGTGCGGCGGCGAGTGCGCGCGACGCGCCCCGTACTCGACGTTGCAGTTGAGCTGCTCCTGGAGCGGCGTCAACGACCCGGGCCGGCCCGCGACCACCGACACGGACGTGACGGTGGTCATCACCGAACCGCGGTGAGATCGGCCGCGCTGCCGCCCCACCGCCGCCTGTCCGGCGTCGTCGTGCCGCCAGCGCCGCCGCCGCCGACGAAACCGCCGCCGCCGCCCCGCCGCCGTAGCCCCGGCGGTCCCGGTGCCGCTGCGCGTCGTTGCAGTGGGCCTTGCGACGGCCGTACGGCACCGGGCCCGTGCCCTTGTACTCGTCCGCGCGGCGGTTGCACACGCCGAACCGGCTGAGCAACACGAACAGGTCGCGGCGGTACTGTTGCGTGAGCAGCGCGTACAGGTACGGGTTCGCGCACGAGTTGAGCGGGTAGAAGAACACCAGCAGGATCTTGGTCTTGGGCACGTCGATGAGCGGGTAACCGGCGAGCGCGGTCAGCCCGAAGAACGCCACCGGCGCCCAGCACGCGAAGTCGGTGAACACCAGCAGGGCCATGCGCTTGGCCACCGTCATGTCGGACCGGGCCACCGACGCCACCGCTTCCTGGCCGCCCCTGATGGACGCGTACATCTTGGCGTAGCACGCGCATATCAACACGAACGCCATGCCGTTGAACGTCAGCAACGAGAACAGGTAAACCTTGTCCGCGAACGTCGAGTAGTCCATGGGCAGGCAAATGCTGCAACGGAACACAACAATGCAAAATCACGTAGTACGAGTATAATATTGTGTTATCGACGCGTACGGCTGACGACACACTTGTGTGACGTGTTACGCCGAATTTATGAAATCTCGCGTTTACGCGAAATCGGCACGAACATTGTCGATTTCATGAAATTAGCAACGCCGTTGCCGAAATGTTCGAGTAAATAGTATTGGAACCTTTAAAACCTATAAATGTATTATTTTCGACCTAACATTTGTTTGTTTTTTTTTTTTTTTTACTTTTTTTTACGCATAATTTTTATTATTTCAATTAGGTTTTCATGATATTTCCAGTGTTTTGTGTAAAACCATGAATATAACCCGTTCATTTATAATGAATTATATTTCATAATTTTTTTTTAAAAAGGGTCTTTCCGATTTCACGTATTCGGCAACAGCGTTGCTTGTTTCATGAAATCGGCAATTTTTCTGTCGATATCATGTAAAATCGGCTATTCCATAAATTTGACGTCACGTGTGCACCATCGACACGATATACGTATTATTATGTGTGGATCGTCCCACGTTCTGTCGCGGCGCAGTGTCGATATGTTAGTGTTTTGTTTTTTTTCAACAGTCGAGTGAACGATGTTATACCTATATTGACTATAGATATGAATTAATAGTTTCAAACTTAAATACGATTTCGAAACTCGACGAAAAAAAAAAAAAAACGATTTGGCTGTCATTTGCAAGTTGCACGAGATTACGTGCGCGAAGAGAAAACGTGCGATAAATAGTCGGTAAGTCGGTAGAGAAAGAGGGAACACGGGACAATTTTTTTCGCTTGGCAGGGGGAAACTTCGATAATGTGTTTACGGAAAAGCAAATGTAAGGCAATTAGACAGTTTGTCTCCGTTTTGAGATAGACAATAGATTTAAAGTTTTTTGGTAGTCACGAGGAGAGTAGTCGATTTTGACCTATACGTATACTCGTACGATACACCACGTAGAAACTTACGTTGAAATCTTTTCGATATTTCAGTGTTACACTGTCACTAGTGAACAGTGGTGGATAAGTCTCAAACAATAGAACCATAATCAATTAGAGGGCGAATGTGAACTAATGAATAGAGTGTTTTTAACGAAGAAGTTACAATTCGGAAAACATTCGTTGGTTGAATTTTATCCATACTAATATTGTTATCAATATTTTAAATTTAACTTCAAACTATAACGTATAGATTAGCTATAAATTCATAAAATATATTTGAATTAATTATTAATTAGAACCTATTGTAAAATACAGTCTAAATATCAATTTTAAATTCAAATTTTTTATATTTATGTATCTGATGAATGACAGTGCTCTAGACAGAAAATGATGGTTTATTAATTAGTAATAAATTGTAAACTTATCAGAGTGCAGCATTTCATTAATCATTCTCCATTCTTTTAATATATATATATAGGCTCGCTAAGTATAAAATTTCGTGTGGGTGAATATTGCCTTTAATTTAACGTCATTTTACGTCATGTCAATCTTGTTATATATTATTGTAGATAAATCCAAAAAATGTCGTATTTATTGAAATTTATAATTTTTTAATATTATAGATGTCATTTTCATACCTAAATATCGGATTAGCTCTAAACTAAATTATTTAGTATATTAATATGCTTAGTATGGTGCAAACGTCATACTACCAAAATATTTGCGGTTTAGATATTTAAGTGAAAATATCTAAAAAACAATGTTAACAAATAACGTATGGAAAGAAAAAGCCATAGAAAATAAGTATATTAAATCTGTACGGTGTCTTCTGTAAACTGATTTAATTTAAGCTCAAATATATATTTTGTGTATAAAATGTAATATTTACGAGAAGCATTTTCATGTTTTTAGTTCTTAAAGTTTTCAATGATAATGACACTCATATGACAAAATAAATATATTAATAAAGTGAGCAATGTATGTGTATTGAAAGCGATCTACAACCGAATCTATCGTATTTACAGTTCTAAAGTTTGGTATATAGTTTTAGGTAATCATCATATACTCAAGGATGTGCAACTTAAACCCAAATTTTTAAATTATGCATTTTAAAAAAGGGCTTCCGCAGGAATTTGTTGGCTCGCGAAAAACGTATATTTTTTTTTTATAATATATAGAGTTGCAATTAACTACAGAAAATAAAATAGTTATTTTAATTGGATATTGTTTTAAATCTTTAGATATTTCATATTTGGTCAAAAGTCAAAATCTCTTAAGTGAATGTGTTAGAAGTATGTAAAGTTTATATTGGTATTTAACCGAGATTAAGACAGAATAAATTTACTGGCATTATTTAATTTTTCATAACGAACGCTCCGTGCAGAATCAGTTATAATAATAATTATATTTACCACATAAAATCAAAGGTTTAAAACGGATGACCCTTATGCAAATCCACAGTTTCTGGTCGATTTTTATAAAATTATCTTCAATAAATTCAACAGTATTATATTGTCTACTTTTTTAGTTACTTTTTATGTATATAAATGTTAAATATATAGTTGACTCACAAAAGCTGTAATTTTTAAAATTATACTTGTTGCCATTTACAGATAGGCAGTTATTATGATTAATTATGTTTAACTTAAGACCTGTATTTTATATCTGATCAAAATAACCCAGATAACGTGTTAAAAATCTGTGCGGTTTACATTTAACGTAGTTTAAGAAGAAGTAAATCTAGTGGCATTTAATCTTTCACCGGAAACATCAATTTATACCATAGTAGAAAGTAACCATTTCAAAAATTCTCAAATACTTAATTCTTTTAAGGAGGACGGTATACTAGAGATCACTAATATTTTTGGAGGAGAGCACTTTAGATCGTTTTCGAGATATCTGGGGTTAAAATGCTCGCCGTTGTAGACGGTTTTTAGCCGTTTGGATTTTCTCGAATTTCTGGAAAAAAAAAAAAATAACAGAAAAAAATTACCCCTGTATCGGGCAAAAATCTGAGTCAGAGATTCTGTAAGCTAGATAATGGTGTATATTATACGCTTGTGGAGTGTATGGTGTACGAAATAATAATATGCAAATTCGATCTAAATAACTATCGAGCGCTTTTATTCATCGGTTATATTATGTTATATGCTATCGTCGATGTATAAGTTGGCAATTTGTGAAAAATGAATTGTATAAATGTTTGTTTTATTTTGAAATCAATTACAAATTAACGGTGTTCTGAATCTAGTAATATTATAACGTTAAGTTCCTCGTAATTCTGTAAAAATTAGAAAATATTAAAAAACAATTACTTTTGTTAGTTAAGTAAGCACTGACTGAAAAATAAATACATAATCAATTAAAAAAAATAATTAATAAAGCTATAACTAAACACAAGTTTGTCAAAAAATACACTTTGCAGTTTTACCCTAATATCCCGCATAATAATGCATTTATACTTATAGATATTCAATTGCGTTATCGTTTATCAATAAATTTTACTTGCCTCGCAATTATCGTCTCATTTGAGCATGACTAACCATGTTATAAATTACATTATTTTTATTTATTCTAAAAAGAGCGTATTTAAGATGCACTAAGTACATTTAAATAAATTTAATTCAACACAAAAAGAGATGATTTTTATTATTTTTATTTTAAATAATATATTTACGTTTACATTATTTTAACATAATAAGACATAAATCGTCCCAAATTTGGCAATTATAATAAGCAAAAAAGAAATTTTTATAATTTGTTAACTCATAGCGGTTTATGTATCGATGTAAAATATTAAAATTTGACAATCGCAATTAATACAGTGCATTACAGAGGAATCAAAATAAACGAGTAGTCTATGTGTGCCAAAATTCATCAATTTTTCTCGTTCAAAATGTCACCCAAGATGAAAACTATTAACAATTTTAGCGATACATGGACATAGTCTGAGATATATTTTTCCCTTGAGATTTTATTAGCAGTAAATAAAATCCCCTCCGTCTTGGATTTATGTTCATATTTGGCTTGTAGGTAGTAAAAAATACACATATATGAAATATATCAAATATAGAGTGAGGTTGTGCTTATTAGAAATTCTAATGAAATGAAATCGTTTTCTATTGTCAAAATAAGTTTCTGTTGAAAAAATAAAAAACAATCATCCCATAGCTTATGACTCTGTAAATATATAAATTATATTGTCGTATAATATTAAAATACCAAGATTATTATTAGCATTTTAGTAGAATATTATATTAAAAAGATGAATAATTTTTTTAAATACTCTATAATTTTTATCTTATTTTTAAAGTAAAAGAGAATCTTTAGTATTATAGTATTGTATTTGTACGAGTATTAAAGAATATTAAATTATAGCTGAAATAATTATATTCTTATACGTTTGATGATTTAAGAAATGATTCCTACTTGAAAATATATGTGTAATTTAAGTGAGATGATTAGTTTACTGTTCAATCCTTAATATTTATGAAATGGAATGCCATAATGCATATTTTTAATTGTTAAAAACATTTTATTTAAAAAAAAAAAATATTAGTGTTTTTTTAAACATTTTTCAGTTGTTTTTAGTTAGGTTAGGGGTATATTTCTACAGGAAATAATAAATATATATTATTTATATACATATAACCTAACCTTATTTTAAATATTTAAAACAATTATGTAAAAATAATGTATAGTTTGAACCATACATTGGGTTGTGTGTCTGTCTATAATGTATAGATCATGATAAGGTATAAAATCAAATTGAAAGCTTTCACAAAAAAAAAAAATTAAAATACATTGATTATGGATTGTATAAGTTGAAATAAAATTTTTATAAATTTTTTGGATCGTATAATAAAATATATAGCTGTTTATATTATTTGGGTTTACTGCCAAATTAAACAATCCGTTTTTAAAATGTTATAATCTTATTTATAAAATAAAATTAAATATAAATATATATTTTATTTTTATTATTTTTTATTGTTTAACAGAAAGAACGATTTCAACATCTAAAGTTATTAGCCTTGTATTCATGCTACATTGTGTAAAAAGTTAAATTTAAAAGGTACACATTTTTACATTCATATACGTATTGATAATGAGATTGTTTACAATAATAATTTTTGTGAAAAAATTCAGGACTTTAATGGAGTTATCTTTGTTTAGAGCTATTCCTAAATTGTCTAGTATTGATAGAGTATTTCAAATGTTTAGAAAATTTGGACAATGTGTTGAATGTTTAAGTTTTCTGGCATATTTTATTGCATAGGTGTGTTGGATCTTTAATAATTAAGAATACGTGCGTTCAAAATGAATATCCAATTCTCGTTCCGATTAGAGTGACTTCTTGTCTTCTGTTTAAATTTTAAGGAATGTGTCAATGTTTGGTGCTTTTTTTTATCATTTTTAATATTATACATTTTAAGCGGGATCGCATGTACTAGCTTTGGTAGTTTTTGAATAAATGAATAGGTATGGTATCTCATTTGATCCCGGGTTTTAATTTTTCCATACGTACAGACGTACAGTACATTAGGTATGTAAACAGTTATATATGTTTGAAATATATAAATTCATATTGGTAGTTAGAATTAAAGCTATTTTTAGTAAAGTGCTATGCAAATGTCTCGGTTGTATCTGCAAAGGATAAAAGTGTGATTTCATTACGATTAAAAATATTTTTATTATATCCTGTTTTTTAGATTCGATTTTTGGAAATTATTGATTTTATAATATTTGTTTTTGTTCATAAAAAACCGTCGGAAAAATGTTTTTTTTTTTTTTTTAAATGTTTAACGTATATTAACATTTTCACATGTTTCTATAAAAAGTAATTATTGGTGACTTAATATATATATAAAAAAAAAAATATATAAAATTGAAATAAATTTGGATACAATTAATTTAATTTTTTATAGCTTTTTCATTACATAAAATAAAATACGATACACATTGTATAACTTATAGGAAGTATTTAATCAAACGATATATATTTTTTTCAATCACATTTGTATTTTTAATAGCGTTCTGTTTAGCTTTTATTGTGTCATGCCTTTTATGTTATGTTAAATTTTCATAGTATAATATTTATTTAGTATTTTTTTTATTTTTTTTATTCAAAATGGAAAAAATTATGAAAATTCACAATTTTTAATAGTTTATTTATAAAATATTTATCAGAACAAATTTTTAATTTTCGACATAAAAAATACATGAAAAATCGATTTTTGGTTTGGCTTTTGGTTAAATTGAAAAATATACTCTTTGTATACCTACTTTTTTATTTTATTCTTATTTTCTCTATTAAGATTATTTTTAGTATTTATGTATAGTCTGTATGTTCAGGTTAAGTATAATATTTTAATAAACTTTATTTTTTTTTTTTGAAACTATACAATAAAATGTAAAATAGTAAGTTCTTAAATGAATAGTAAGGTACATCATGAACAAGTTGTTTAATTAAGTCACGACACTAAACTTTTTTTTTTGTTTATGGACGTGTTTAATATTATTCCTTTTTTTTTTTTTTTTGTTATAACTTTAATATTATTATTTTAGTAAGAGTCACAAAACGACTTCATTTTAGTCTTTATCGAGGATTTCCTGCCAGTATTAAGATGAAAAAGCCATTTATTAATACAATTTTGAAGTCACCTGTGAAACCATATATAGAACCAATAGAAGATGCATGGTCAATTTATTTTATAATCAAATCATTGTGAAAAGTTATTTGACTGGAGATAATTGGCAGTGGGTTGAATATTCGTTATCTGTTTTAGTGTTGTATTTTGGAAAGCTTTAATTCTACCTAAGTTAAATTTGTCACTGAACAACCAACAAATCAAAATTAAAATTCGACATAATTTTTTTGTGCTTTATATTATATATTTCCAAATTATCATTATTATCTAATATACTGATAACTTATCTCTTAAAGTATTAAAAATAGTAAAGTATGAGAAATAGCCTTACAGCTTAATCGTTCTTACCTATTTTTTGCCTCAGAAAAGAAAAAAAAAATACTCGTAACTTATTATTTAATATATTTGGAACGACTTAGCCACTCCAAAGGTCCCACCTAGATGTATCTATGGTCGAGTTTTTATCTCACCTGGTCTTCGAGTAACCACTGGTACCCATCAGTGGCAACGCACCCATAAACAGCGAGAACAACCAACCAACGGCCATTATGTTGATGGAGGCACCGAGCTTGAGCCGGCGATTCAGGTGAATGGCGTAAGTGATAGTGTACCAACGTTCGCCGGTGATGATCATCAAAGTAAACACAGACAGCATGCACGAAAACACAGTCAGAAAACCGGCGACTTGGCAACCGATACCTGTGTAATTATAATGCAAAACAAAGTTTAGGTTGTAATTTAAAGTATAAAAACAACAGAGGATTCCTTATATTACGGCTATACGCATTATTGTAAGTGTCCGTAAAATTATTTATACATTATAGTAAGTTAGTACCGTCCTACTTACATTTACGATCGTATTATAAATTATAATACAATGTATCTAATTTTATTGTCTAAGCGATGTACCAATGTTCTATATACTAATTAATTTATGTAATTGAATACAATGTTATTATTTGTATATAACTAATAACTATATTATACTACGAGTACGAGTGTATAATTGAAATTGGTTATTATAGTTTTTGTTGGGTTTTATTCGATTGCTTTCAATCGACGAGAAAAATATTAATATATTTACTACCGCGCGTTGGTACATTGTCTGGTTCAATATATTATTACGCCAAGTACATTCTATAAATCTTATTTCGTCTAATCTTCTATATTATTTGTCTACGGTAAAAAAATAACTAGAAATTCAAGAACACAAGTGAGTTGAAATGATATTATTTATTTTATACTTACAATTTTTATAAATAAACTTCGACGTTATTGTACATATTTTATATTTATGTTTTATATTATCGAACAAGCATATTACTATATAGCAGGCCCTAAAATTGTGTGCACTACGATACACTTTGTGTAGTACAAAAAATGAAATGTGTACAACAAAATTCAAAAATGTGTAGCAAATAATAATGTTTATTTTTTCTATATTATAAATTTTCTTTTTAAATCACTTAATATAAACTTTTAATTAAAATTAGCGTGTAACACAAAAAATAGAAAATTTTAGGCCCTGCTTTATAAGTACACTTTATACATACGCTCATCATATTTTTTATAGTGCATTAGCACAATTAAAATTTTAATAGATAAAAAAAAAGTGCGATGAATGATGATCGTGGACTAATAATGTTTGTCCGAACTGTGCATACTTGTTCATCGGCCTATCGATGAAGTTCGTTTCAGACCTTTCAATTAGTAATTACATGTAACTCTGTAGAATTATACTAATTTTTATCCAGGCTATGTTGCGCGCAAGATATATGCTATGAATATTGATTAAAAATGAGTAAACGAACATTTTTATACTATTTTATACCAGAATTACAAAGAACTGCATGATGAGCTTTGATGGGATCTTTTTTTTTTTTTATCGTAAAAAGTCAATTACAAAAAATAATTAAATTTTATTTTTGAATATCATACAGAATATTGAAGGTATTTTCTATGACTATATACACTATTATCTGTACAGCTACCTCGATTTGGTACATAATTAACTTATGTTAAATACCATAACTTTAAAAGAATTATAGAAAATTAAAATATATTGTGGATTGTAATTATACTATATATGATATACGAGTTTAATTTTTAAAATAAAAAAAAAAAATGTTCGTGATTAATAACTTAAATAGTTAAGAAATGATTGTATTATTCTATAAAATGCTAATGTATACTAATGAAATCATAAAGTATTTAGTATAATAATGAATATTAGTTATTACTTATAAATTTAAATTACATAATATTCAATATTTTACATTTTTGTACACACACTTAATTAAAGTTAATAATTCATATTAATTATAATAATAGTTATGATAATGATAACACATGCTATTTTAGTTTGGAAAATATTTTTTTTAAATTTTCATAATACTTTTATTGATTTGGTTGGTTGAAAAAAATGAAATGATACAATATAATAACTGTTAATAAAATTATTTATAAAAGAAAAATAGTATGGCGCAATCGAAACAAAAATATAAGATGTGTCTAGGTAATTTGGAAACAATTTATATTGTTCAGTCACATGATATACATTATATATTATATAGAAAGTTGTAAGATTGTATTAATTATATTTAATAATAATACAATATGCAGTTAAACATTGATAATAATAATGATAATATATTATGTTTGTTGAAATTGATAATTGATACATAATAGCAGATCTTAACTCATTATTTTTATTTTTGAACGTAACATCCATAACGGTAACGAAAAAAAATTTTATTAAACAATTTAACTATCATAAGTCATAATACCTTATGAATTATTAACCAAGGATATAATATATAACTTCAAAATTTTCTAAAAAAAGTTTTTTTATTACATTTGCAGAATATTCCGGTGCTATGCTGAAGCTTCCTAACCGGAAACCTGCATACATGGATTCGAGAAATGAAATGTGTCCGCTATTTAGAGAGAGTTACCTATTAAGAGGTGTCAAACAATACATCTTATAACCTATAATTGAGTATACATTACACATATTTTATTAGTAGACTATTTTCTACGTATCTTTCATACACGCACTAAGTATGGCGTCCGCGCATATAGTAGCTATTGTGCAGGGCACAACGACGCGACGGTGTACGATAAGGTACCGAGTTGTGCTATAAAGTGGCATTTATGGCGTTTAGTTATTGCCGTTTTAAAGGACGAGGACGAATTTAACGTTTTTAATGTCTTTTTATACAACTAAACGTTCTATATTGTATTAACCGTCGTTATCAATGTTAATAACTCGAACAACTGCATTGTGTATAAGTATAGTATTGTATTGTACCTTAATAGTGATGTAGCTGACTAGTTAAACTGTGAAATTGATTTTTTTTTTTTAATTTATATAAATGGATACAATTCAACTTATAAAAAGCGATAGTAAATTTTTTTTTAATAAGAAATCGTATAATGAATAACACTCAAATGAAATATTATAGTATTGGATAAAAGCGCAACCGGATGGTTGCAGCTTTCAATGTTTTCATAGTATTATATTATACTCGTACTATTAACTATGGTACTATATAAACACTATTATAATTATATGCACTTTTTAGGGTTTCGAATTGAGCATTTTAAAGAGTTTTTTTATACATACAAGCGTGTCACAAAACAACTGTCACGCAGACAGTAAGTGCTATGAAAGTATTGAACTTTGAAAATTAAATTCGCTGTATAAAATAGTAACAAGTATCTATATTTAATACGCAAAACTAATAAATATCATGGAAATCATCGTCACCCATTTAGTATGTGATGAGTTTTATTTTTTAATTTAAAGCAACGACGCATACAATATATATATAATTGTATGATGTATATCTGCAGGGATGGCCAAATAATCGGTCACAGACGATTTCAAAGTCGATCATATTAGAATTCATTTTTAATAAATTGTATTAAATAATCATCATGGAGAAAACTTGATAACCAAAGATAACCTATTTTTGTTCGAAATATCTGTGTGTTTTTTCACATGAAAATTATTAAATCTGAATATCGAGGTACACTTTCTGATGATCATTTAGAGCAGTATCTTTGTTTAGCAAAAAACGATTTTTTTTAGATTATAATCAACTAGTCAATGATATGTAACGTTACATTTTCACAACAGAAAAACAATATGTTAATTATTACATTTTTAATTAGACTTTAGAAATTAATTTTAAATACATTTAAATTTTATTATTTATACAAATATGTTTGTTAATAATTATTATATGTAAATGAATATTAATAACAAAAAAAAAAACTATCGTAGTTGATCCTTAAACGAAAAATATGTTTTTAGTAGACATTTATCAGAAATAGTTTAGCTACACTTGAGTTTTGATGTGTACAGTCAAGTCGTTTTCGATTACAGCATTCTCCTCGTTCTTGTATAGCAAACTTAGTTACTCGCCGATGATAAAACAATTTATTTGTTGTGGTGACTTAAAGTTAACGGTGTATTATTTAGTTTTTGTAATTAAATACGGCTCATAACTGACTATATAGTATAATAATATACTCGGTATAGTTATAATTATAAAGTATCGTATAGCAGATCCGGTGAAAAGTTTGTTTTACTTGTAACGTCTCGTTGTTTTTGATCGACGAACATCGTTCAATTATTATGTCCGATAATAATACCTATGACTTTCAAAGTGCATGAGTAACAAACTTTCTGAATTAATTTGATCGATTAAATAGCTATGATATTTTGCAGTATAGGATATCCCACGGGACTACAGTGATCAGTATCATATAATTTTATTAACATAATTATAAATAAATCAAATGCATATTTTTTCTTCGTTGTTTTCGTTTTTATTCACATCAAATGTTGTATTTTTTTTTTTTTTTTTTTTTTTTATTGTTATTAAAGATTTGAGGTTTTTAACAGCAATAAAATAACATTTTTATCACTATGATTTTTTTTTTTTTTTAGGTTTTTGTATTTATATTAAAGGTTATATTAAGTTTTAATTTCTCGATTGTATTAATAACATTTCTCATATTATTTTATTTATTCATATAAGTATAAAATATCGAATATCTAATAAAACCCCATTATACATTTATACTAAAGATTCGACAAGTAATGTGTTGTAATTAATAATATACAAAAAAATATATAATTATTATTTTATTAAGCAGAATAACTAAGAATTAAAATCTTCGTGCATCATGTACAATGATGTCGGTAATATTTTTTTATTCGTTTAAGTTATTTTAGTTGATAATTATGTTAATGCTTATAAGTTAATAATGGTTTAATGGTAATAGTATATCCCTTAAACAAATATTTACAGTAAAAATTAAAAAAATTTAATTCGATAAAAATAAAATTTAAAAAAATTAAAATTAGATGGAAATATACTGTAGCTTATAGCATATAACATAAACAAAATACAATTCAAAAGAGTAAAAATAGATATCTCTTAAGTAAAAAAAAAATTGCATGAAATGAATGTGTATTTCATTAAAATCATAGTCAATAAGTACCTACCTTAATATCAAACTTGAAATTTAAAGATCACAGTTTTTTAAGCAGGTAGTCTAATCTAGATATTTTTAAAATTCGTAAAATACGATACAGTAACACTAAATTTCAATCTAAGTTCATAACTGTTGTTTTTAGAATAGAAAAATACTATATAATTGAGAACTAAATATAATTATTGTGAAATTTTTAACTGAAATTTATAGTGCAACAGGTATAATACTGTATTAGATAATAAATTTATTATGCATTTTTATCGTATTATTTAGGTCCAAAGGCACAAAACGAATTTATATTTTCGGGTATCACCTCGGAAATGAATGTCTTAAGTTGAAGAAAAAAAAATCACTTATTTTTTTGTATAACAATATTAATAATATAGTCGTGGATAGGGTAAATTCTATTCAATGCGTGTAAAAATTATTAAGCTGTAAGCAGAGAACCCTTTGCTTACTATAGACCTCGACCGGAAGAAAACTAACTATCTTTTATCCATCTAAGAACTTTATGTGAATAGTATTTGTAAATTATAATAACATAAATATTTATATGTCACCGCATACAAAACTTAACGTACATAATATTTATTAAGTTACCTCTCTGCCAGAATATGGCGTGATTGAAGTAATGTCCGATCGATCGAGCATCCATAACGGCGATCAATAACAGGTAGAGACCCATGCAAAAATCAGCCATGGCCAAGTTGCACATTAGGAACTTAGGTACAGTCAATCGGAATCGACTGCTGAGCAACACGAACAACACGGCCATGTTTCCCAGCAAGGCGGCCACGGCCACGATCCACACGGCCACTCGTAATGTCCAGTTTCCCATCAGGTCCTCGCACGGGTTGAACGCGTCCGGTTCCGGATAACACTTGACTTCTAGATAGTTCTTTGACACGTTGCCACAAACTACGTCAACTTTGGTACCAACTGTCACGTCTGCGTAAAACGGTATGGTCAGTCGATATTTTATGTGATCGATTGCATTCGTTGGTTTCGTTATAGAAGTGCAGACGGTTGAATATAGTATAGTTATAATAATATAAGGGTGAGATCTGCAGTGGTGTAATTCGAGGCTTAATGCCGTTGCAAAGGAGTGCATTTACATCAAGTGATTTTGTTGGTTTGGTACCATTAGTAATTGGAAACCTACGTTTATTTCACGTCCCGTCAAAATTTGAAATGTCGTCATTGTGTATGAAATATTTTTATACAGGAGTACCTACATTTTGTTTTACTGAATCCTTAAGTTTTATCAAGTGATATTTTGTTCTATTAAATGTCTTAAAATATTTTAATCGGCTCTGCTAGAAACAATACGTTTAAAGAGATGGCGAACGATTGCGAACGTTTTACATTTTTTATAACACGATTGCCAACGAATGTCGCTTATCAAAAAATTTGTTTTTTTAGCCGAAAAACGAGCGACTGCGAACGTTTTTATGGGCTACGTTGCCAATTTTATAATTTCTAAATATGTTCAATTTTGTTCGGGAATGTTTTAAAATATTTTAATCGGCTCCGTTAGTAACAATACGTTTAAAGAAAACATTTTCAAACTTTGAATATTTTTATTATTGATTTCAAAATAGTTTACTTTTTTTTAGAACGATATAATATTTTTTATAATGTATTCCAGATATTATATGATATTTTATCGTATTAATAGTTGTCAAGTAGGTATCGAATATTGTCTATTATAATTTATTGTTATCAAACATTTTAAGTTTGATAAGCAGAGATATGAGATAAATATTTAAAAAATGTCATCTGCCTGAAACATGAGTTTCTAAACTTTAATGGTGAATTATTAACGGTTAGAGAAATGTTCAAAAAGTTTTTAGAAAAAAGTTTAGTGTAATAGTATACAGGTAATACAATTAAAAATAATGTTTGCAATATAATTACTGAAAAATCAGTACAATATTTGATCTTTATTATACTTGTCAATTGATGAACTATTTAAAAAAAAATATATACATAATAAATATTTATCATATTATTATACATGTGTGAAGGTTTATATGATAACGCGTGACGTTAATATACTGTCACTGTCATAAACTGTAACTAATAATTATTTATTACTGAAAAATGTTCGTTTGGGGTTTAGTTGGATAATAATTGAAATGTGTTTTTGGACAAAATTTAATTTTATTATTTGAATGCATTCATTTATAATTTAATCGACATTGTTGTTAATGATGTGTATTTTTAAATAAACACATGCGTAAGTAACTATCACTGTATTAAACCATAACTTTATTAATTATTAATTACGATGTGAGTTTTTATTGTCATCGATACTTTAACCTTAATCTATAATAAATATTGTTAAACATCTTGTGTAAAGTAAGATTTTTATTTTAGTCTTTTTTACACTTGAAGGTTTTTTGTTTTAAATATTATTAGATTAGTTGGTCACGTTAAAAGTCTGTATCGATATTTATTTATTTTATATTGATTTAATAATAGTTTATAAACTATGCTATTAAAATTATCTGTACATTATATAACATAGAAAAAAATGTTCTTAATTTTATGTAAATGCAATTAAATAATATACATTCTCATGACGATTACAGTGAGTTTTAGGAATATATACTAATTTCTAATTCTAGTAATTTTGAAAAGAAATAAAAAATCCATCAACAACAAATCCGCCACTGTTAATTTAGTAAAATGTTTAATGGCTTAACTAAATCAGATTAATGATATATTTGCTGGTAAGTGCAACATTAATATTATTTTTTTTTTTACAAGTTTTTAATATTAATTAATTGTGTGTCTAACCTATATTATTGGAAACTAATTTATTGTCTTAATTACATTTTTATATTTTTCACAAAGATAAATACTGATAAATGTATTTCGCATTATAAATTAAAAATAAATATTAAAATATGTATTTTAAATTATACAAAATAAAATGTTTTAAGACTTTTAGTGTATACATTTTTAATTTTTTAATATATTTAAAATGTTGGATATGATTATATTATTTAATTGCATAATATAGTATATTATTTGAAATAGTTATTAACTTTAACTAAATTAGATTATTAAACAATAGTTAAATTTAAAATTAAAAAAAAAATATATTGAAGCATTTTATGAAAACGGAATTAGTATATATTTATGATTAAAATGAAAGGTATTTTATTGTATATAAAAAAAATGTCCAAATAAATTTTATGCTATTTTAATTTAAATAAAGTATTCTATAGTAAAATTTTATTTAAAACCAATTTACAAAATATGTATGTGTATATACACTACTTTAAGGGTAAGAGCAAAAAAATAAAAATAATTGAAAATTAAGGAATCCCTAAATATAGTAATAATATATATATATATATATATATATATATGTATATATATATACACCGAGTTTGATTTTATGGAAGTCCGAGGTCATACTAAGTCATATGTTAATGTAATTTAAATTTCTCCTTACATTATTTTTACAGCATGACATTTTAACATTTTCAATCACGTTTTAAGTGTAAATAAATTATATTTAAGAAAATAATCTATTGGTGACTTGAATTAATATAAATTACTTATCATTAAAACATACAAAATTATTTGAATATTGTTAGTAAGATACATTATATTTAATTTTTAAATGTTTATATTTCCATTATTTATCCTGACTTAGTTGTTAAAGTCACGATTCCTAACTTGTAGATTTTTTTTATACTGCATAAATACATTTTATGGCTTTTGTTATTTTATAGGTGCAGTTGCAGTTGTGGTATGATGACAATAATAATTTCCAACTAAAAATATCATGTTTGAGGAACAATATTTTATAGTTTTTGTATGAACATATAATACATATAGGTACTGTATAGAGTATAAAATATATCATATACTGTAATATTTTTAGTTTTTTTTTATTATTTTTCGTTTTGATTTAATCATTCTTTGTAAAATGTACAACTATTACCTTAAGAGGTAATGGTTTGTAAATTATTTATTTAAAGAAAGAAGATACATATTTTAAACTTACAAACAATAATGTTGGTTTGTGGTAGTAAAAATTAGTAGGTAATAAAATATTTATAAAATACGAAGACTTATTCTATTTTCATCTGATAACTTTTACAAACTACTAAAAATAGTTGAAATATATTTATATATTTTTCTCATGTTTAAGTAATTTACTTTAAAATTCATTATAATAAAATTAAAAAAATATTTTTAGATAGATACTATTCTTAAATGATATTACTAGCTTGTAGCTACTGAAAAATAAATAATAACTATTGATCTAAGTAATTTATTGTGGAATGTCCAATTTATATAAAGTTATTATAAATAAATAATATCTATAGTTTTTTTCTTAATATTAATATGTATTTATAATTCTTATGCGTAAGAACATTGTTTTAAATAATTTTAATATTTAAATATTTTGGAAACTAACTAAAAACTGTATATTCATGGCATTTAATTAAAAGAAATGAATAAATCATAAATTTAAAATTTAATATTACAATTTTATTTAAATAAAATTGTTTTAAACTGCAAGGCAAATATTTATTTATATGATATCCTTAATATTTCTATAATGGTCATTTCTGAAAATAATCAATTTAATAAGTGAAGTAAATAATTATTGTTTGTTTAGGTATTTTAAACTATTAACTTTATATTTTAATAGGCTAAATAAAATTTAGTAATATTTTATGCAGATATTTTGAATTAGTCATTCATAATATAATCTTATACCAGGTTGAAATAATTACTGGGTCATATTTTACATAAACAATTTTGTACATTTTATGAATTATATTTTTAAATTGCAACTAACAGGTTGTTGCAATTAATTTGTGTTGTTATCATTTCTGAAATTCCATGGTTATTGTACATATTTTAATTTCTATTATCACTAAAAGTTAAATGTTAATTTTGTTTTATTTTTCTAATTATATAACTATTTAATAAATATTATAAAATAAAAATATAATAATCGAAATTTTATCAAGTCTTAAGTACAGACTTCAAATTGGGACAGTAGAACACCGTGTTCAATCAAAGTATAATGATGAGTTTACTTCGTTTGAAGTTTGTATGGATTGTGCGTAAATTATATACGCAATAATAAATCGTTATATTATCATATCATAATAGAATGGTAAAACAGTTTTCAAATATAAATACTTACCGCCTGAATGAAACATTTCGTCGCCGATAAAATTCTCCGTTGTTGAGTGAATTGTTTTTACCGTAGAAATCGGGTCTACAAATGGTATACTTTTGCATTCATGTAACATTTTTTGTAGAAGTTTCTAAATAATAATAATGATAACACAATTTTATTTTTGATTTTGGTCAGCACTAACTACAATATATTGACATTTTTTTATTATTATTTAAGAAATCGTTGAAATGCTGTATGATGAATATTTACCTCGTGATTTGCGTATCCTTGCGGATTGTGTGTTTTAGGAAAATGAAAAGCACAGCAGTGATACGGATATGTCAGCCATGCTTCTTTAATGCTCTATAACAAGCCATTAAACATGTACTTATAATAATAAGATAAAAAATTGTAAAATGTTTATTGAGAAAAAAATATCACCATGATCATTAAAATATGCGTGTAAATATTTCTATTAATCTGCACATAAGCTAATGTTATACTCTTAATTTCTTAATTAACCTAACCTCGAGGAGATAAAATGTATGATATTCACTGTGAGTTCGTAAAGTTAATCCGACCTCAAACATCTCGTTGTGGTAATCAATACAATCCCGAAGTATCTATTGAGAAGTACTTAAAACATTCAAAGACGATTCGTGAGTAAAATAATTACACACGATGATAAATAATAACAACGATAATAATTAGTATGGGCCTAAACACTATATACATATTCTGTTGACATAGACGGCAAAGATACAATCTAATTCACAGACTTGCTGAACAAACCGTATTCAAATACACATACATAAATATATGTGTATAAGTTATATACAGTATTAGTTTTAGTCCAATGAATAAACCATGAACGACCGTTGTAACGAGTAATGCTATTTGGGGATAAATTTCAATCGGTTAGATCGCCGATGACTATATTATATACACGCGTAACTGTGTACTATATAATTATGCAATATACATTAATATAATACCTAATATGTTATAAATATACTTCTACTTGCAAAACTTCAATACCGAAACGCAGTGACCGGTCATATTTATAACGACATAATGTATTACACGTTTAATATGAATGTGCGTTGTTGCTCCCGAACTTATAGTGTGTGCGGTAGACTAGAAAAATGTTTATTAAATACAGATAACAAGAAAGAGTTCTTTTTTTTATGTCAAATTTGAGGATATATCTTGAATTAGTTTCCTCAGTATAATATCTTGAAATGATTTGTAGAATATAAATAATAAATATTTTAATTTTTTTTTAATTTTAAATTATTGTTATTAATCTTGAATTTAAAGCAAATGATTTTTTTTTTTTAATCACTTAACAATTATAATATTTTGAGTTTTTGATTTTATTTAAAAATTGCTTAAGTTGTGCCCAGTAAATATGCATCTAACAACAAATAGTTGTTTAATAAGAAATAAATTAATTTGAACATTATTATTTTGTTATTTATTGATTATTTTTTTTATTTCTAATATGATAGTAAAGATAAGTATTTAGAAGTTTTCTTAGATCATATTATTTTGAGTTTTTTAAACATAAAATCGGGACTTTAATTATAATATACGAAATGGTCTAAATTATAAAATCTGAAGATAAATTTTTATTGTATCGTAATTTTTGACTTTTCGAAGTACATGCAACAAACCCGATATTAGATAAGCCAAATAAAACTGAACTATAAATATATGTATTTAAGATTTTCACATAGACCGTGGTTTAAAATCATATATTTTGTATAGCAGCTTGTTTTTTTTTTCTTTGGACACTCTTTTGAGTATTACTTCAATAGTTTCAAACGTTTCGCAAATAGTCCCATTTTTTGTCAATTGAAAATGTCATCCGGTTCGTGCTTTTTACGATAGTATGTTTTCTGGTTTTCATTAAAAAAAGTTTACTCAAGCGAAGGGAAAAACTATAGAAACATTGGTAAACATTATACCTATATTAAATAAATGTAAGCAAGTGTGGTCCATGTTTATAGCTATCCAAACTTCGTTTGAAATCGTTTTTCGAATTCTATGTCATATAATATCGTTATGACTGTTGAAGAATTTAATATCGCAACTCAAAGGTTATTTATCCGACAATGTCCAACTGGGACAGTAGAATACCAAACTTCAGTATTCTAAAGTAAACTTGTATTATCTTTCAATCTATTTTGGATTTAAAGATCATTATACGTACCAGTACCGTTTTTAACATCATAACACCACCACTACTACCATTACTAATACTTTTTTTTTGTTATCTTATCGTCGGTCTCAGGAGAGAAATAATTTTTCTTTGTTTTTTCACTGAGCTACTATATTGTATTCATCTAAATACACTTTATGCACGTTACTTATATTAAGCATTCGTACATTTTATGTAAGCAAAAATAAAACAGTGAACAGCAAACATTAGTAGGTATTAACACCGTGGGATCTTAATTTAAAAAATATTACATCTCTGTGCAATGGAAATGACTTGGAATGAATTTTAACCTATAGCCATTGACTACTCAGGACGACATATTCACCCGCATCATTAGACCTCTTGTTCTGTCTTCTCAACCGCTCTTCTTCCTCTTTAGTCCCCAGAATTAATGTAACATACTATTCCATAACTTCTTAATTTCCATTGCAGTGTAAAATGGTTGGTATTATCGTTTCTGGAGTAACATTTTTTTCTACAGTAACTTCTGTTCTGCCAGCTTCTTTGTCTACCAACCATGTCCAAAGAACTTATATTCTGCATCGTCAATAACGTCTCTACAAGATAAGTTTTGTGGAATTTATACTAGGACAAACGTATATAGGTAAGCTTGGAAACAGCTATGTCCCATTGGTAACTGAATCAAGTGGTAGTTTGTCACACCATGTAATTAATTAACCAAATCACGAAAACTAGGCATAAGTCATTTCGTCCGGTCCGTGCACCTTTGGTATTTCATCGCTGCCACGAACTCCAAATATTTTTATTAACTATGCATTTTGTATTTTTAGTCTCAACTGTTTAACAATCGTTTGAATCCACTCTGTTCTCTTGTCATGAAGTGTATTGGAATGTTGTTGGCCACGACCAGTAATGCCACCGTGGAAAATGTTGTGTACGCGTTGGCAATTCTCAAAGCAATTGCGCTCCGTGGGCCTAACCGTAACTGTCGATGATTATAAAGACATTAATACTATTTCTACTACTACTGAATCAATAGTAGGTTACTGATAATCCCTTAAACATTGTATAGTGGTCTATTATTAGTTCATACAATTCTAGTGACCCAATTGAATTAATAAATTTTTTTATACAACTTGAGTAAAGAATATTTGTTATATTAAAATACTAAATTTAGTTGTAGTAACGAGTTAGTTAATTATTTCACCTTAAAGTTGTAGATGGACGGAAAAACGTTCATAGTGTACGTTTTTTCGATTTTCAAAACATCTAGTTCTTCGAGACCAGCTGTAGGCAAATTCTGGATTGATGTTTCTGACAAGTCTCTGTGGAAAAACAAAACATACAAATATATATATATATATATATATATATATGCAGTGACGATTCACGAAAAATAGCTCAGCGCAGTGTAGTAGCAAAGAAAAGTGGGCATTGCAGCTGCGGAATAATGAAATGTGAAAAAAATAAAAAGTTACGAATGACACCTATTTCAATTCCTTTAAAACAAAACTTGTTATAATAATATAAGTTGACACAAAATTATCTTTGAAACTATTTATAAATTTTGTTCTGCTGTTTTGCTGTGTTTTCGGTACAGGTAAAAATGCTTCGAACTTAAATTGTGTTACGTTTATTAAATAAAAACTTTGTAAATGCTCTTAAAATATCTTTTGCGTCTTAAAACTTACAGATTGCGAAGACTTTTAATTCCAACGAAAGCTTGAGCGTCCAGTTTTTGGAGTTTTCGATTGCCTCTCAGGTTACTGTAATGATATATATATAAAATAAATGTTTTATCTTATTGGCTACTTAGTGAGTATTATTTAAATTTCAAATACAATTTAAAAAATAAAACATACACTGTGGCAATTTCGGCGTCTTTGAAAGCCAATGGTCCTACTTCGGTAATATAATTATAGTTGAGTTGACTGTGAAAAAACAAAATAAAACTATTAAATATCAGAAGATATATTGAATTTTATTTGGTGAAAACTATTATAATATTATTTTGTGTAATATATACGTATGTCGCAACCACATAGTGAAACCACTCATTTCATGAACTGGATATCCAGATAGTGAAGTTTGTCCAGATCGTGAATTTTGACGAAAATACATTATATGGACATTCATTTCTTGAAATGGACAATACCTACATCGTGTACTTTGTGTAATTATTATTTTATTATAAAATGTCTCATAAGCTATCATTATACATATATACGTATTTTATATTTTATTATAAAAATAATTATATTTTAACAAAAATATTTTTATTTTATTTTTCACGATTGATTATGACATTGGCTGTTACAAAGCATACTTTTCAGTATAAATAGAGATAATAATGCTTTATCCGTGATCTATATTATATGAGGCTATTAGAGAGATATCAAATTTAAATTCGGTAATTTCACATCCGATATCATATGAATGTTTCTTTATCGGATATTTGGATGACAGTTGACGGATACCTATGTAATTCCTAAGTTGTTCAAAAAATAACATTTAGTGAGTGTTTGTGTATAACATAGTTACTATTGTGTTTGCAGTTTATACGTGTATTTATTTTGAAATAATAAATAAGTAACAGTCAATGTTATAATCAATTGTGAAAAATAAAATAAAAATATTTTTGTTAAAATATAATTATTTATATAATAAAATATAATATACATATAAATGTATAATGATAGTTTATGAACCGTTATATAATAAAATAATAATTACACAAAGTACTCGATGTAGGTATTGTCCATTTCATGAAATGGATGTCCATATAATGTATTTTCGTCAAAATTCACTATCTAGATATCCAGTTCATGAAATGAGTGGTTTCACTATGTGGATGCGAAATATACAATATACATTCTACAGTTTTCTCACTGTAAAAATACATATTTTCTAAATTTTGATTATTATATGTGTATTTTTTAATTATCTCTATAAACAGTATAAACGTATATACCTATTTAAAATAGAATAGACAAAAAGACGTTGATGTTAAATTTAAAACTCTTTTATTTTATAGTTTATAACATGTATACATTATTACTATTACCAGATTTTTTTATTATTATTAAAGACATACTAATAAAAAATATTATTATATCTTTTTTCTTATTGTATTTAACTATCTCTCAAAAGGAAATCTCATAGTAATATTATAAAATCATAAGCATTTCATGAAAATTATAATATCCCTATATTAAAATAAAAAAAAAATATATATGTACTATATTAAACAAATATTTATATAAGGTTGTATTAGACTTAGATAATATGAAAATGTTACTATTTTTATATAGATATTAAACAAATGTATTGCAATATTTAACAATTGTTATTGATTTAATTAGTATTAAAATATATAGTTAAAAATCAATGTCCAATACAGCTTAATAAAATTACAAACCAATTGTTTCGTCATTATCTGTCATTTTTATTGTATGCAATTTCTAACTAAAAAATAAAAGTTAAGTACATATATATTTAAAACAACAAAGGATACAAATATCTAAGAAGTTGTTTGCGTTAAACAAATGACATAACTTTTTACCGGTATGTGATTTTTTTGTTTAATACTGTAGGTAGAACAAATTACTCTTTAGACAAATACCTTTTAAATTTTAAGGGTAGATGTAGGATTATTGAAGATCATATTCAATTTTTGTTACAAATTACCTGCTATTTACAATCTGAAAAGTTAAGTCGTTTATATTGTAAGAAAAAAAAATGTGTCAAGGTATTTAATGAGAGCAAGCTAATAACGTAACATATGGTGTTTAAAAAATTTTAAACAATCATACAATTATATTAACTATTTGCGTAATTTTGAAACACATACGTTTATTGTAACAATTTATTTTTTATTTTTACTTTAAAAAAAAATAAATATTTAAAACTTTAAAGTAAAACTTGATTGGAGTATTTCATAATAATGTATTACTATAATAATAGGATTACAATATTATCTTATTTATTTATTGTGTTTAGAAATATACAAATTATTGTAAGTTTTACCCAAAAAAATAAAATTATAATTTTCGATTAGTTAAATATGTTTATAATTTTGGACCGTTTTGAAATAAACTTGCCTTATTATTATTATATATGTAAAGTATGTTTGTTTTAATGATCTAAATGTTACAATTACTTTTATATTTTTATATATTGTCATTGAATAAATTACATTTTCATTAATTTAATAGTAAATAATATGTTAATACTGATAATACTTAATCAAATATTAGGATTTTGAACATTAATAATAATAATAAAAAAAAAAAAATTATATTTTCAACTAGAGATTTTAAAGAAAAAAAAATAATAAATTCAACAATTATATTATTTGTATTTGATTTTACCTTAATACACTATTATAAATCTAAAATAGCTACAAACAAATATAAATTCATAACGTTTCATTTTCTTTAACTAGACAATAACGATTGAAATCCATTATTATTGAATATACATTTTTTGGAGTGTTTTATGAAATAAATTTTTAGCTAAAGAAAAGAAATAAACGGCTTCTTTATAAGAATATATTATTTAAGACATAAAATGGAAAATTAATTTTTAGTTTGTTTTCATTTTTTACTATAAACGTTTATTTTTTTCAAGAGTAAAATTAAATATATATTATATGGGATAAAATATGATATTATTTAGTAATGCAAATTGAACGCATTTACGTCTGAATTGCTAATATTATACGTAAGTATAAAGAGATTTTGTTTTTTTTGAAACTTTTGGTGTTTGTAATACTAGGTTAAATAATTTTAATAACAATTTTTATTTTATGTTACATTAATATATTTATATATCAATCAAAAATGTTATAGTAATACCTTTCATTTATTTCTTAGAAAAATTTAATATTATGTAATATTAAAATTCACGTATATTTTGTGAATATTTATTTTATTTATTATACATTTAATTATATATGTAATAAATAAATTCAAATCAAAATATTTTTTAGTAAACATAGATTTATCTGTAGTATTATATAACATATTTAAAATGACTAAGAATTTTATATAAATGAATCTATTGATTTAATTATTATTATGGCTTTTAAGTAATTATTTTAAGAGAACAGAATTATAATTACAATTTAGATTTTAAATATTAAATACCTACTTTAATAGACAATGATATAGAATAAGCTATAACTTTAAGAAATATTCCTAAGATAATTATAATACTAAGTTACATTGGTAAATATATAAAATCAATTTAGTTTTGTTATTCACATGTTAGGTTTGAAAATTCAATGAACTTCACTATGGCAGGGGTTAGTAGAATTTTTGAATAGACTATGATTACTGATTGTATCCTTCATTAGAATTATTCTGTATTATTAATGTACTCGATTTCAGATTTATAATAAGTGAATAAGATTATTATAAGTACATTTGTTAGTGATTGATCATTCAACCAATAAAATTACTCTATCTTTGCCATCCACGACTTACAACGTGCATCATATATTAAGTTTTAAATTTGTATTTTTAGCCTTATTTATTTTTTTTTGTTTTGATGTTGTAATAAGTTTCTTTTTTTCATTATTATTATTGATTATGAATTATAATGTTTTGAAGCCTAAGTGAATAGTGTGACTGACAATTTGTAAAAAAGGTTGAAAGCAAATATTTTTTTCAATTGTTGCTGTATGGGGTAATTTATTAAAAAGTTTATAGATTTATCAAGTATATCTTAAGAGCATATTTAAGATTATTTTATTTTTTTAATACTATTAACCATTTATAAAGTATAGTTGTAATAATTATAACTTTTTTTTTCAAATAAAAACTTATATTTAATTGTTGTAAATTATTAATAAGGTGATTTTTTTGGAAATTTTGATGTTGATCTAAATCAAAACTTAAATGAAAATTTTTTTGAAAAATTAAAATGTATAAACTAATAATAAAAATCCTTCAATAGATTATACAAAAATATAAAATAAATGTTATATTGAAGTTTTGTTTGTACAAATACATAAAAATACATAACAAATATAAAATATAATACTTCCGTAAACCTGAACTTGTAATGAAGTAGAGAGTTAAAATCAATTTTTATTTTTATTTCGTAAATAATATGACACTTATATAAATACATATGATGTTAACAAAATCACATGAAATTATTAATAATAAGACAGTACCTAAAGGAAGAATAAAGTATAGATAGTTATTTTACAAAAATATATGTATAGGTATAATAAACATTAAATATAATATTTATTGTGAGCTGAATAATTCTTAACTTTCTTATGTTATTTTATTTAAAATCATTCATAAACAGTATTTTGATTAATTTTTAGATATTCGAAGACATTATTTTTTGCTTCGTCCCAAACCAGGAGATCATATTGAAAAATCTATTGATAAAACGGGAAATAAATATTTTGAATAGTTTAAAGCGGCCACATATTCATATTTTCAAGTTTGACACATTTATATAATACGGAACGTAACATTTCAACTAAATTATTTATACGTAAATAATTTTAATCAATAACGACTCTCGGATAATGAATTTAGTATAAATATTTGTTATTGTAAATTGTACAATGTTTATGGATTAATATTAATATCTAAAATTTTAAAATCATCATGGCCTCTATATTTTCCAAACTCATTATAATAGCTTTATAGTCCTTAGTACACACAATTAATAACTCAACAATTAATAGCTAAAATTTCGATTCAAATGCACCACCATTTAAAAAAAAGACCTTATCAAATTAACAATTAATATAAATAAAAGAAAAAAGAAAAATTTTTATTTAAAAGGAGAAGTTGGTATCCTCATAAAAAATTGTTTCAATGGTATAAAAAATATGCTATAAATATGCTTAAAAATACAATAAATCAAAATTTGAATAAATGGAGATAATCCATCTAAACGTATC